ATTGAACTGCTTTTCTGCATCTCTGCATATAATACGTCCAGATTCAGAGACTTCATCCAATCCTTTTTTGCTAGTGGGACCTCGCCCCAGGAGCGCGGTTCCACTAGCAGATGAGTACGACTGAGTTATATCTGTGCAGCCTTTGGGTGACAGAATTTACAGAAAACCGAAAAGGCAATTCGAAATATAAAATAACGAAAAAGTTCAAAAAATAAATCAAAAGAATGTCTTTTTATCCCTATCTGGCATGCTGTTTGGACAGGGAAAAAAAAGAAAAAAGAACCGGCAAATCTAGCCCTTTTTTTTTTTGGTGTGAAACACAGAAGTTTCTCCCTCTTTTTTTTTTTTTTTTTTTTTCCTTTGCATGACATCTTTTGAAACTTTTTAAGATAGAATTTTCAGTATTCTACCTCACAGTTCTCGACCGTACTTATGGGGGCAGGAGAAAATGGTGAGGCCCAACACAAATAATAAAAAAAGGAACAAAAGAATCAAGCAATGCTGTCCTTCGGGACATCCGTTAAAATTGGAACGATGCAGAGAAGATTAGCATGGCCCCTGCGCAAGGATGGCATGCATAAATCGAGAAATGGTCCAAAAAAAACAAGAAAAAAAAAGAATCAAGCAATGGAGGGAGGTTCCCCTCTCTCCTGCAGCTTAGATTACACAAACAATAATCTGAAGCACAACGCCCACTGGGTGTTAGATGCGTCCACGTCCACGACCTTGCTGCGGTCACACGTGATTGCTGGTGATATTTAATTCCTTGCACGAGTGCCGTTCCACTAGCACTAGGATATTACTTAACTCTACCTGTGCGGCAGGTGTGTGACTCACGTATAAAAATTACGAAAGCATTTGAAAACTGGGAAAGAATGTGAAAGAAAAACAAAAAATTGGCTGTTTGTTGTTTTTGGGAAGCTTGCTGAAGTGGCTGTTTTTCTGGCGCATGCAGGCCGAGCCTATCAAACACAACAACATGGCCCTTTCTTCAGAATGACTCAGTTTTAAGTGTTGTGTTCTGTTTTTTTTCTTGCCTTTCTTTCGAAATAGTACTTTGACTAGGTAAAGTAGTTGTAAATTAGGTAGTTATTGCCGCCATGTGGTCATACGCGAACTGAAATGGGCAGGCTTGACCGGGTTTCCGTCAAAATCTAGACTGTTTTCAGTGTATTGGTTTCCTTTTTTTTTTCAATTTCGACAACCCCCCTGGGTTTTCTGTTATAAAAAAAAAAGGAAAACCAAGAGTATTGTAGAAGCTTCTTGGAGAAGTATCTGACCTTTAGTGAACCGATATGGACAGGTGTTCTAGTAGGTTGGACGGACTATCTGTGCACTGCATCAAGCCACGACACAATTTAGACTGCCGAACACAGAAATTGGCGGGGCCCATGGAAAATCGTCCGTCCTGCTCGCACCTGCGTTCTGTGTGCATCATGTGCCCTCACCTACCTGATTTCACCTCTGCTTGCTGTCCCCTTCCTGCTCTCGCCTGCTTGTCGCTCTCACTTGCGTTCTGCTCTCACTTACGCGTGCTG